CCGGTTGATGTCAACGTGATAAAAAAACTGTTGGTTAAAGACTAGATGGCATGGCTCAAAATCATTTTGATTAGCACAGATGTATCCAAATATTACCTTTATCTTGACTGTCTTCATAAATTCGGTGTTTCCATGTTCCTCTGTCCTATCACAACTTTCTACCTCTTGTGACTGCTTTCTTCTATATTTCTTGGTCTTTCATCTTATTACTCGCTCGCTTGATGTGGTGACACGAGGTGGCAATTTAAATCACTAAGCAGTAATGTCTAATCTTATGTTGGTCTTGTTTGTCTGCCTGTCTTATAACACTTCCAGATATATGATCAAACAACAGAAATGTCAATCTTATACTTATGCACCGACTATTTAAGTGGTAATGCAAAAATCGACCCGACCGGTAGCTGCTACCTTGACGTGGTGGTCGGGCTTGCGTATCACAATGGCTCAACAAGCTATGCTGGTGGAACACTTGTTCCCTTGAGGTCCTACCATACCAGAAAGGTCTGTTGGATAGTGGTTAGATGAAAAGCAGTTACCGTTGTGGTGCTAATTACTACACTATGGTGGGGGTCTGAGGGCGAAGTCGTACTGCTGGTAGCTGGATAGGGTTTGACGGTAGCAAGGTGTTTCTCTTGAATGACCAGCAGTACCATGCTGATGCTGCCTTCTCAGTGGAAGGGGGGTGGTTAGAAAAGGTCGGCCCGCAAAATAACACACTCCACCATACCCTACAGTTTGCCAGGCCGGCGGTGTTCGTCCACTCGTCGTTTCTTTCCTACCATCCGGCCCCAAAAATACAAAAGTTCGAAATAATCATACTCAAAAAGCTGCGTGTGACTGGCCTCAAGTAGATGTCCGATGGGCTCTGCGGTCACACAAATCTCTGCCTTAAGAAGAAATAGTCTTCCACGGTGTGGCCAGCCGGGAAGTGTCAACCGCCCTCACAACTCGATCGGCACTCAAGTTTCCTCAGACTGCTATCCACCTCCCCCATCATTACCTTCTAATGTTCCTTCACGTCTCTCAACTAACGATACTACATCATCTTCAATATCTCCTAGCTCTGCAACCTTTGACAACGATCTGAGTTCACAAAACAGCATCCTTGGTCTCATTAAACCACTCTCCAAATTACATATTGGAGCCTTCAATGTCCACACCCTCCGTCGAATTGGTCAACAGGCTTCATTGGCCAAGACTAGCAACTCGGGGCATGGATGTGTGCTGTGTTTGTGAGACACTCATACAGGACCCAAGTGCGGTTATTCACCTGACCTCTCCTGCCCAATCTGGTGAATCCGTGAAATTGACGCTTCGAGTTTCTGGAGATCGGATATCTAGCTCTCGCGGTTTTGCAGGTGTAGGCATTGCATAAGCACTAGGTCAGAAAATTCACTACTAGACTGGATCCCAGTTAATAGTCGCCTCTGCGCTATCCGACTGAAAGGCACAATGAGAACTGAAAGGAATAGTGAGACTCACCGCTGTCTCTTTGTAATCTCTGCTTACGCACCCACCACTGACTGTAGTTCGGACGAAGTGAAGGACTAGTTCTACCATGAACTGTCTAGCATTGTCTCGAAAGTCAAACGTTCGGACGTGGTGGTTGTTGCAGGTGATTTCAATGAACAGGTGGGTAGACTGAGTGAGGTAGAAAGGCACTTAGGTGGCACTTTCGGAGTCCCGGCTGAACGAACAGGTAACGGTGTGCTCAGATAATCGCCTATTTTTAGCTAGCACAAATTTCAGACATAAAGAAAGACACTGTCTGATGTGGCGTCCACCGAGCTCAACTCAGTGATGGACACAGATAGACCACATTGGTGTCAGTCATCGCTGGAGAGGATCGGTGGGAGACTTCCGCTCCTTCTGGAGTACATGTTTGGACAGCGACTATGCGTTGGTCGAGGGCGTTTATGCCTGCGTCTCAATGGAGGTAGGAAATATTTGGCAACAAAACGACTACGAGTGCTGCTGGACAACGAAAACACCAAATCCGTGTTCAGTGAGAAGTTGGCTAGGTGGTTATCGGAATAGAAGACTATCACTCATCCAGTAGAAGCTTGGTGCCATCTGGAGTCTGCTGTAAAAGCAGCGCTGACGACCGTAGCCGACTCTGAAAGAGTGGCTAAAAAGAACCAGTGGATATCGTCAGCTTTTTCCGAAGTAATGGATGAACGTGAACGCACCCCTGAGGCTCTGAGTACAATGAGGAGCGAGCGCAACTTAAAAATATATTGAGAAAAAGTCTGCGTAACGACCGTGAATAGTGGTGGGCATCGAAGGCTAAGGAGATGGAAAAGGCAGTGGCGATTGGTAACAGTAGACATTTATTTAGACTTATTAAGGAACCGGGGGAAAAAGGTCAACTGCGGTAGTGAGGCTATAGCGTAGAAGGACGGATTTGCGATTGACTGGCAGGGGGGACGACTGGAACGATGGACAAAACACTTAGAGGAACAGTTTAACTGGCCTGCAGCCACAATTGCGTTGCTGCTTTCCAGTCGGATCCTGAATGGGACATAGAGATAGGCCCCCCAACACTAAGAGAAGTCGAAAAAGCAGTAGGTAACCTGGGATGGGGAAGTGCGACAGGACCAGACGGACTAACTTCTGAGGTATACAAGGATGGTGGTAAGGTGCTCTTAGTCAGGTTAACAGAAGTGTTAACCAGCGTATGGGAATCAAATACGATCCCCTCTGACTGTTCTAAGTCACTGCTTATCCCAGTCTTCAAGAAAGGCCTAGAAGTCGTCTTGTGATAACCATAGAGGAATCAGCCTGACGAACATAGTGTCTAAGATCCTAGGTTCTATAATTTTCTGACGCCTGAGTGGAGCTCGGGAACAGCAAGCCCGAGAAAACCAGGTAGGATTTAGACCGGGCCGTGGGTGTATCGACCAAATATTCATACTGCACTGGGTTTTGGAACACAGACACGCTTGTCGACTCCCAACACTAGCTGTATTTCTCGACCTGAAAGCGGCATTCGACTTGGTTGATCGAGAGGACTTATGACAATGTCTCTCACTGAAAGGTGTGCCGAGTAAGTACATCACTTTATTGAAGCCTCTCTACTCGAACACTTATGGGCGTTTTAGAGCCTATGGTGAGATGTCAGGTGAGCCGTACTAATCGAGTGGCATCCGTCAAGGGTGCCCACTCTCCCCATTCTTATTCAATTTCATCATAGATATTCTAATGGAGGTCTCCCTCTCGTCACCTGATTACGCAGGAGAATTTTCATTAGACCCAGAATATGCAGGTGACATGGTCCTGTTAGGTGGAGACGCTGACAAGATGCAGAGTGTTCTGGATACTTTGAGTGGGAATTTGAGAATGTTTGTGATGCGTTTCTCACCACCCAAATGCAAATTGTTGCTCCAGGATTGGTCTTCAGCGGTGCCTCGGCTAACAATAGAGAGCATAGTAATTGTGTTGGCCACTTGACTTATTTGGGAAGTAGGATCATCCGTGGTGGCTCAGTGGTGGATGAGATCTCTGCAGGGATACAAAAGACCGACTGGCCTTCTCGAATTTACGCCACCTATGGTGCCGCTGTGATATCCGATTGTCTATAAAGGTTCGCGTGTACTGCACAGCAGTCCAGTTTGTTCTACTGTATGGGTGTGAAACGGCCACTGAAGGTGGGAGACATGAGAAGACTGGCTACAGGTATTTGATCACCGTTGCATTCGTATTATAGTCTGTATTCCGTGGTGTCACCACGTGAGTAACGCAGATGTCAGGAGTAGAGTTTTAGGGAGAAGAGGTGAGTCAGTTGACGAGATTGTGAACGTTTATCGACTGAGATTGTTGGGACACGTGTTACGTATGCCTAGTCGCCGATTGCCTGTCACACAATGTTGGAGGAAGTGGGTCCAGCCTGGGAAAGGGCCCGAGGTGGCCAGACTAAAACATGGCACCGATGTATGAAGTCGTTGACTGTTGGTTTAAGCCATGTGGGGCGATGCAGACTGGGTGATTGGGGTTGGCGGGACAAGAGGAATCAGTGGTTGGAGGGAGACTCTAGGTGATATGGGTGAGAACCGATGTCAGTGGGGCAGATGTATACACACATTATCGTCATCTAATGACGCTATACCGAATCTCACCATTTCCTCATTCTTCCTTTCTCTCTTTTCGTACTTTATATTTCTTTTGACTGAATTTTCTTATCTCCATCTTGGAGTTCACTGCCTTTTTATTTGATTTGGTGGTATGACGTGTGGCAACTCGGACCGTTACGCAGTAATGCCTGGTTCTAGGCTGATTTGGATGGATGATAATGGTTGTTACTCTAAGTAGATATGATACTAAAACACATTCTTTGTCGTCCAAAGTATCCGAGTTTTTAAAAAGTCAATTAGGAATGAGGTAAGATGGATTATTGGTGTGGTGTACATGTGATCCAACACTCTTTACTTATGATCTGTTATTAATCACATCTGTCTGATAGTTTGTGACATTATATATCATTCAAGGGAAAGTAGATGATTTGAAATCGTGATCCAGTGATTGATATTTGATAACCTACACTATTAGAACCAGCCGCATTGGTACGGACTGAGGAGACCATTTGGGGACATCACGCGCCACACCAGACCGTCAAGTGGAACCTAAAGGGGAAACAACTAGTTGGGCGTCCGAGGGTGACATGGCGGAGATGGTGTGAAGAAGAAATGAAAGCTTGTGCGCAGTTGTGGAGCCATATTGAAAAGACTGGAGGAAAGAGAGCGAAATGGAGACGGGCTACTGAAGCCTTATGGTCCACTAGGAATCCAAAGGACAAATAATAATAAATAAAATATTGGTACGGAAAAACGAGTGAATGCCAATCAACTATGTAGTACTTTTTATTTTATATTTTAGTGATACTTGCTTCGAACAGAAAGCAACCGAGATGTTTTACTCAGTCCATTATTTTGTTTTTATTGTTGACATTTCATTAATACAGGTGATTGAATGAAGTATTGCATAAAATTGTTCCCCAGAAACAGATGATGGAAATGTCTGAACACAGCTGTACTATAGTCGATGGTGAATATAAAGGTATATTTCCTAAATTTACTAACCATTGTATATTTTTGTGCTTTATCAGAAGAAGTTATCAATCGCAGGTCTCCATATGCAGAAAAGTATCGTAATAACATCAAAGATACTCATTTAATGCATTTAAATGAAAATGGAATACGTGATGATTATGCAGAAATGTATTCCCCTACGGGTAGTCTGTCCAGCTCAGAGTCGGTTGAAATTCCCTGTGGTATACGTGATGGCACAAAATATCATGATCTTGCTGCATATATCGATTCAGTCACTGCTGCTTGTACAGAAGACTCGTCACATCTCATGGACTCCCAGTTACAGTTATGCCAAAATGAAATTACTCATTTGAATAACATAAGCGTAATTCAGTCAGACGCTAACGCAATGGCAAATGCACCTATGAGCGTAGATACCGTAGATGCTCCAAATGTTAAAGAAGTGGAATACAAATCTAACGATCTTTCATTTTCTACCCTGCCACACACTTCTGCTGTACAGTATTCAATCGAACCAACAGTCCTCAACTTAAATGCAGATTCTGTTACTGAAGATGAGTTTGTAGAAGAGTTTGCTGATTTCGTGAGCGATGGTCCGGCTGATGAAAACTGGGCTGCATTTTCTCCTGAAGTATTTGAGGGTGAATTTAAGGAGACAAACAATGTTGTCAATGTACAATGCCCTGAGAGTCCTGTTGAGTTAAACGACGATGATGAAGATTTTGGCGACTTTACTCAATTTGCACCAAACACTGTATCCACTCCACCAACTGATACAGGTATTTTGAATGGGTATGAACGTTCAACCGAGAGTAAAACTTCAACTCCAGGAATCTTGGTATGCTTCATTTTTATTCATTTGTTAATTATATTAAAATTCCCATATGACTGTGAGTTTATGGTTCATTAATAGAGGTTGGAATTCACCTGTCTTATTCATCGGGTAAGAGATCCTATAACTTGCGTATTGCGTAGGATATCTTGGGTTTGTTGTTCGTGAATGGCAGTTTTCACCATCAGTTCTAGGATTTTGGATCCTAAGCTACATGCACATATCTTTTTATTCCTTCACAATTTTTTTACTTTTAGCCGTGCACAAACGACTATCAGTAATTGGACACATTGCTGACTAGATCAGATTTCTGTTTCCAACATTACCTGGAACCTTTGTTAAACTTATTTTTCATCCCTAATGCAAAATATGGAAAAATAGATAATCTATACAGCCGTTTGAAGTATATATCTGTCTAATGTCTGATAAACGCAAGGACTCTGTAGTTATTAAAAATCGTTATTGTCGACCTAGTCTTCTTGTTTTTGGGAACCTGCTTTACCGTACGCAATTATTCACACGTATATGTTAAAAACAACCTTTATACAACTGATTTTGTATGCTGCTGGGTTGTTGCTACTGTGGTTGAGGATTTGATCTATGCGAGTTTTTCCAGTTTTACCGAATCCATTCTGGTTTATCAGAACATCTAAAAATACAAGTTTTATTCCGCTTCAATTGTGAATTTGAAGTCGTCGAAAATGTTGATTAACTTGTAAGCGTTTTTTCAGTTCGTTTCTTTTAATAATGACAAACGTTTCATCTAGATATCGAATCCAAAGTTTTGGTTTGATCAACGTCAAGACCACAGTATCCAATCTTTGCATCACTTCCACTGCAATTAGTCTTGATATAGGCGATCCCATTGGTGTTCCTTTCGTCTGTTTGTAGAGTTTGTCGTGCAATCGAAAACATGTGAGACATCAAGCTTGAACATTGCAGTTGAATGTGTTCCAAGTTGTATCATTGTTAAGGAGAAAAGTCATTGTAACCTTAGCCAGTTTCGATTCATTTGCGGTGTATAGAGCTGTAACGTCGAAAGACACTATCAATTCGTTGTAATCAATATGAATTTACCCGATCTTTTCAAAACTGTCGAAAAATTAATAGAGTGGTCGCATGATTCTACTAGATATTTCACTTTTCTGAAGAGTTCTTTTGAAAGATCGTGTGCTGGGGTTCCTAGAAGTGAAACAATTGGTCATAGTTAGATGTTTAGCTCGTGTATTTTCGGTCTACCATAGAATTGTGGGAGAACAGGTTCATTGGGTTTCACTCACTATTGCTCTTGTTTTGTAATTTGTCCCACTTTGACGAGTCTGTTCAGGGTCTTGGTGATGTGAAAGTCAAACTTCTGAATGCATTTCGGTTCATGAGTAAGTCTTCCACCTCTTCGATACAGTCGTCTTTAACCATAACTACTCTGTCTCCCCCTTTGTCAGCTGGAATTATTCCAATGCTCTTTCTACTTTTTAGTCTCTTCAGAGCTCTCTGTTCTTCACTGGTCAGTTGAAAATGGTTTTGCTTCCGCCTAGTCAGAGGTACAATTACCTGTCCTATTTCCTTTTGGGTCTTATAGTTTAGTCCTCAAGTCTTCGGTGGCGATTCTAGGGATGCGATGAATTTCGGTCCTGAAGGTTCTTCTATATTTTAATTTGGTCATTTCTGAAGAAGTTCCTGAAATTTTCCTAAGAGGTTGTTTGGACAAGTAGACTACACTGTCAATTACTTCTTCCCCTTCTGATGCTCGTAGCTTTGAAATCTCGACAAGCTTATCTCAAAGGATGTTTCTTCTCTGTTTTTTGTGTTGTCTACTTTATTTTTCAATCGTATTTACTAACGTTGTAAATTATTCTGTTGTGAGTATCCATTAGATCTTTCTCTTTTGGCTGTCTATCGTCTGTTGATATTTCCCCATCCGATAATGATCATCGATGATCATCAGTTGTACCATATATCTCCCACTCCTTTCCACTAATTTCCAACCCATTTGATAGTCGATAAATGATCTGACATTAGTTGGTGGAAAATGCTAATGTAGACACTTGTGGAGAAAATCTAGTTGTTCTTTTGTAAAGGTCCGCCTCTTGGCGAAGTTTTCCCATTTCCCAACAAGAAGAAGCGTTTGACGATCGTAGAATTTTGATATAATGGGGAATATTTGTAGCTCAGGAGGATGATTTTAATAATGTGTTTTCTGAGGTGGACGGCTTAACTGTGAAGCTTTCATTGTCATTCTAGACGACAACATCAGCACAAACTGAGTAGTAGTGGTTGACTAAAGCGAGGGAAGTGGAGAAAGCATCAGTACTGCGTAACTCACCAAATTATTATTATTATTATTAGTCCCTTGGGTTCCTAATGGAACATAGGGCTTCAGTAGCACGTCTCCAGCGCTCTCTGTTCTCTGAAATCTTTTGAACCTGGCTCCACGACAGCCCACAAGCTCTCATTTCCTCCTCTCACGATCTCCTCTATGTCACCCTCGGACGTCCAACTCGTCGCTTCCCATATGGATTCCACTCGAGGGCCTGACCTGGTGCGTGATGTCCCCAGTCGGCCTTCTCAGTGTATGGCCAATCCATCTCCACTTCCTTCCAGTGCATATTTGTTGGGTGATAGGTTCTTGGTTGGTTCGTTGCCCGTCCAGAGTTCCTTGTTGCTTATTCTTGTTATTCTGGCCATCTGATCTTCAGTAACGAGCCAGGGTAGGTAGGCAGTTGTTGATGAATGTCTGTAGTTTACTGGAAATGCCTTTCGTGACGCGCCAAGTCTCTGAACCATCACACAGAAGCACTGACTTGACGTTGGTGTTGAAAATCCGGATGTTGTTCATGCCTTATGCTGAGTGCAGAAGATCTCCACACTGGTTTCAGGCTAATGAACGCCTGTCTTGCTGTATTTCCGATTCTGACTTTGACATCCTCGTCTGTGCCTGTGCCACCTGTAGTTGAAACAGTGCTGCCTAGATGGATAGGTGAAAGAGGCTACCTCCTTTAAGTTTCTCCCGTTGACGGTGATTGAAGTTTGTTGTTGTTGCTGGAGTTGTTGGTGCGGTATGTTCATCACTTCTGTCTTCTCTATATTCGTTTGAAATCCTGTCTTTGCTGCTTCTTCTGTCAACTTGTTAGTTTTTGCCTGTAGATCTTCAAGTTTGTGTGAAATTAGACATAAGTGATCGGTGAAATCTAAATCTTCTGAGATACTTTGCCCCGGTCCAGCCAGTGTATCCCACTCTTCTCACAGCTCCTCACTGCTTGCAGCATGATCCAGTCAAATCGACCACAATCAGGAATATCAAGGGTGATAGGAGGCAGCCTCGTCTTACTCCTATCTTTACTTCAGAGGTATCACTGAGCTTCGCATTGTGAATTACTTGGCATGTGGCGTCTTCATATAGTTGTTGAATGAGGCTGATAAAGGTTTGTGGTATTCCATAGTGTCGAAGCAACTGCCATATTACTTGTCGGTCGATGCTGTCAAAGGCCTTCTCAAAGTCGATGAAGTTGAGGTAGAGTTGAGTTGACTGCCATTCTATACTCTGTTCTATGATGATGCGTAGTGTAGCGTTGCAATTTGGTCCTCACATGATTTGTACTTCCTGAATCCAGCCAGTCTGTTTGGGTCGTAGTTTTGAATCCAGTGCATACTTTAGCCTCTCCAGGATGATGCGGCTTAATATTTTGCTTGTATTGGGTGGACAGGAGAGTGATTCCGCACCAGTTCTTGGAAACACTGAGGTCGCCTTTCTTCGGGAGTTTGACAAGGTAACCCTTCTTCCAATCAATGGCCAGGTACCTTCTCCTCCTTCCACACCTTCTGCAATAGTGGTGTGGTGTGAGCATGTTCGCTGTTGTCTCTGCGTCTGTTTTCAGTGCTTCTGGCGGGATCCCATCTGGTCCTGCTGCTTTCCCACATTTCAGTAGCTTTATGGCTTTGCGTTTAGGACTTCGACTTTTGTTGGAGGATTTATGTTCACTTGTAGTTCTGTGTCTGGGCTGTAGGTGGTATTTGTGGACGAAGTGCAGGTGGTGGTGGTGGTGGTCGATTCAAGAGCTTCTTGGAGTGGTCAGCCCATCCCTTCCTTTATTTCTCTTCTTTCGTAATTAAATTTCCATCATCATCTTTTAATTGTTTCATCTGTGTTGATCTCCTCCTGGTTATTTGATACAATGTTGTCAGGTCTCTGTCTCTCCTACCAGCTGGCAGCCTGTTCTGCTTCACTTGCCAGTGTTCCGTAGAAGTGTCTTTTGTGTTTCCGTGTACTCTTCTTCACTTGTTTGTCCAGTGAGTGTTTTATACATTGTACTCAGTTCCTGTTGTCGTTGAGCATCCTTGCACTGGTTTATCTTCTGCTTCACCATCACCATCCTCCTCTCCCTGCTCTATCAGCTTCCATGTATTCATTGAAATCCATTCCTTATCTTCTTTCTTCTTCCTTCTTAATACTGTTGTGTAGGTTTCTTTCCACATCTCTTTCAAAGACTTCCAGTGTTCTTCTACACAGGTTTCTTCAGGGATGTTGCCCGATATCTCCCATTTAGTCTTGATGGCTGGCTGCCGTGAAGATTTCTTTTGTAGTTTCATCCTTCAGTTTCCTTTCTGTGTGTTGTACTTGAAGTGCGGTGTATCACCGGCTTCCTTGAAGGCTTTTAACTTGATTTTGAAGGTAGATTCCTTGCAGTTGATAGTGCGTTGTCTGAACTTATATCTGCTCCTCCTCCTGTTGACGTTGTGTCAAGTAGGCTGACTGCGTCTCCATTTTCGTCACATTGAGATGAAGTCGATCTGATTTTTAGTGTGGTGTTTCCATCTGGTGAAATCGAATCCATGTGGCTTTGTGGATATCGTTGTGCTTGAACACACTGCCTGACTCCAATCACCAAATCGTTGAATGCACAGAATTCTGCAAAAAATTCTCCATTCTCTTTCATCACCACACCGAGCGCTTCTGGACCCATGGTTAGTTCTCTTCCTGTGTTGTCTGCTCCCAGTTTGGCATTCATGTGGCCCATTAGAATGAATTTTGATATCGCCAACTTGAGTGGTGTCTTGTTCTGTGTTGATTGAAGTTGTCTGTAGAATTGCTCCTTTTTCTCTTGCTGTGCATTATTTGTAGGTGCGTAGTGCAGTGTAGCATTGTATGATTGCGACTTTCCTTCCTTTTGAGTTGAATCTTGCTGTCATGATCCTGGAGGAGGAGATTGGTTCTCACTGTATGAGAGCCTTCTATGCTGTTGGGGATATCATGATAGCCACTGGAAAACTCAGTGTGCTTGTGGTTGTCGTGTGGGTGACAATATCGGAGTAGATTATTGACTGTCCAGTTGACAGTTTGGAGAGTCCACTCCCATTCCATCTGCTTTTGCCAGTTCCAAGCACTTCGATGTGATACCTTCTCATCTCGTTTTCAATCTGGGCTGCCTTGCCAGTTAGGTTCAAACATGGTGTGAACATTCCATGTCCCCACATTTACTTTCGCTTTCGTCGAGAGGGAGGAGACACATCGGCCCGGCTAATTGGCTTCCCGAAGTCAGGCTTTCACCAACTGGCGTCATTTCGCCTCTTTGATTCCAGCGAGGAATAATTTTATTATTTTCTATATATCGTTTGTGCTTTGAAGTTTGTTTATCGGTTAGATTTGATTTACGGGGTAGGGTTGGTAGTCGTATGCCCAACCTTCCCTCTTTATGAGGGCTTAGGACCGGCTAGTAACTAGTGAACTAGTTAACCAGGCGAGGTTAACTCGCCAAATAGTTGGCTTTATTAGTGGTACCGACAAGAAGGCGATGGTTAGTGGAGCTATCACCGACAGGGTTGGAATGCTGATAATCTCCCTGTAATTTGGGCTGAACACTTTGAAGTGCAGTTCTATTGACTTTCAGCGGGATATTAGTTGCCCAGCATCCAATCTGAACCTGAATGAGACGCAGACGTCGGCCCTCCAACTCTCCTTGAGATTGAAAAGACTGTTTCAAACATGGAGCGATACAAAGCAGAAAAGCGTGACAGTTTGCCAACCGAAGTTATGAAGAATAAGGGTAGACATTCAGTTAGTAGACTAACTGGAGCACTACCTAGTGAATGTGAATTAGGTTTAGACCAATCAAACTGCTTCAGATCGTCAATTGTTACAACCTTTAGGGAAGGATGGAAGTTTTCTCGTGACAGCCACAAGCGAATCCGTTCGACTAACATCACATCTAATATTCTAAGATCCATAGTTGAACGATGGATGGCCAGAGCTCGACAACAACACCAAGAAAACCAGGTGGTACGTCAATCAGATGTTCACCTTTCAACAGGTTTTGAAACACAAGTATACTTATCGTCTGCCGACACTTGCCATATTTCTTGAACTGAAGGCGATATTCGACTGTGTCAACTGAGAGGTTTTGTGGTAGTGTTTAACTGTGAAGGAGGTGTCGAGCAAGTATGTAGTGTTAACAAAAGCTCTCTACTCGAACTGAAGCAACTGTGTGAAGGCTGGTAGACAGTGGTTATCTGAAGTGACAGCAACTAGTGGTGTGTAGGAGGGATGCAGGCTATCGCTGCTGCTGTTTAACTTCATTATAGATGTATTGAAGGAAATGAACATAGGTATCTGTGACTTGACAGAGAGGTACCTGATTGATTTGAAGTATGCACACGACATTTTTCTATTTGGCGAGAAGGCCGACAAAATGTAGGGTTTTTCGGACACCTCAAGCATACATTTGAGTATGTTTGAAACGCATTTCTCACCCGTTGAATGTAAGGTGATGGTTTAAGACTGGTCTGCAGCTATTCCCAATTTATAAGGGATACGAAGTAAAATGGAAGAATATATTGACCACTTCACTTGCTTCAGGAGTCGCATCGGCGCAAATGGGCAGGTTGTTGGAGAAATCTCATCTTAGATACGAAAGGTATGTTTGGCATTTGCCAAACAACAATGGCAGCATTTTTGGACGAGTATACTTCACTTCAGTCTGTGTCCTACTACACGCCCAACACGACTGTTGAAAGTAGATACTAAGGGAATCAAAGTTTGTAGTAACATTTGTTCTCATCACACTTTTAGAGTGTCGTTGAATGAGCGTATAACAACAGATTGGAAAGTGTGAACTGTTTTCTAGTCGGATATTGTAGTCTTTGTCTATGTACTCAATGGTATGCGTACATATGTATATCCTGGAGAATCGGTCTCCAAAGTTCCAGAAACTCGAAGTTTGAATTACAGAAATTTTCTATACTAGCCGGGTAAGGTTAAGTGAATAGCTACACTTTGGTCGTGCATACGTGTTTTACCAACACATTACAGAAATATTAGAGTTTTGCCAGCGAAAGTTGTTTTCCGATTTGAGGTAGGGTATGGAGATCGAAAGCTTCAATTTGTATTTTGAAGCTCGTTTTCAAGAGACAAGGAATGCCTGTTTGTGAATTCATATTTTAGTAAATGGCTACAGAGCTAGAAGAAATTTAAGGATGATTTAGGAATACAGTGGCCTAAGGAAATTTGATAGCTGACATAATTGTTAGAAGGGGGTAGGTAGGTTAATATTTCCCGCCTGCCCAAACTGTAAAAGGAAAAGAAGGAGAAATAAGGTTCCTTGGATCGATTGTCGAGATTGTAATTCAATCGTTTTTTGGGCTTTTGCTAATTTGTTCATGTTTTTATACCGTGGTAGAATGTCTTCTCATCTCCCATGTTTTGCTCATTGTTTGTATTCTCTTCTCTTAGTATTTTTTTTTGTTGCTACCAAATTCGACTTAAAAAAGCATAACTTTTTAATAAGTTTTCACTAGTTTTGTGTATCTGACAGTAGATAGCTTATCTGTCTCCCAGATTATTCGCAATCGAACTAAGCTCTGAAGTAAACCTGTCATATAACATATAATGAAGCTATCTATTTGTAGAAGGTCCAGTAGTGCGTTCAAAGCTAGGACCTACATACGCAATGGTTAGCAGTTGAAGTTATCAGGGAATACCCAGGTTGTTGAAATTAAGGTGTACTAAACTGTTAACCCTTGTAACCTATCTTATGCCTTTGTTGAAAAATATGTTTTGGCGGAGAAGAGGTTATTATTGATAAGCTGTATACATATTATTTACTTACTAATGCTGATGCATTTCCAAAAAACTGCAGATATCAACAACTACCTACGCTCGTTACTGAAGCTAAGATGGCCAGAAAGAATGGGCAACAAGGAACTCCGGCAACGAACCAACCAAGAACCTATCGCTCAACAAATATGGAGAAGGAAGTGGAGATGGGTTGGACTGCGCATACCCTGAGAATACTATTCGAGGAGATCACGCGCCAGGCACTCTAGTGGAGTACAGATGGGAAACGGCAGGTTTGGCGTCCGAGGCGAGGGTGACATGGAGGAGATCGTGTGAGGAAGAAATGAGAGCTTGTGGGCAGTCGTGGAGCCAGGTTGAAAAGACTGCAGGGAACAGAGTGGAATGGAGACGTGCTACTGAAGCCCTATGTTCCACTAGAAACCCAAGGAACAAATAATATAATAATAATAATGCTGATGCTATATGCTTAATGATGTGATCCTTTGAATTTTCTTCAAGTCAACTATTGAAATGATAGTTCGAATCCTTTATAACTGCATAAATCTAAGCAGTTGTGTGGTGTTTTTACTTCCTTAAATAGTAAGCATAACTCATAGCCATCCAGTTATGTGTGTCACTTGGTTAACTAATGGTAATGCAATTTCTTTTGTGTAAATTTACTTTTATAGGAACGTTTATTACTGAAACTGGAGCCTTCATTGGATAAAGCTTTTGGGTCACATTTTATTAGTCAACATGTCAATGAAGATATCAACCTTACAACAGAAACCATTAAAATACGCCTACAATACACAGATGTGAATAAGTCAGTTAATGAATCATCATTATCACCATCATCAAACGATGTTTTGTCTTCATCACATACTTCATCCAGGATGCCTAATAGTCGGTAATGTTATAAAATATTTGCTTCTCTGATGTTTTTGTTTATAAGCACTGTAGTTGTTCACTTTTGATTTCTACTGATTTTACAAAAAGCTTTTTATTGTCTGTTTAACCCAAGTCTTGTGTTCTAACTCCTATGGGTTGGTAAGTATCCATGGGAAGACTTTTATCCAAATTCTTTTCTTTTTTTTTTTTTTGGCGTCATGTTAAAGTTGTTGCGTGGCATGATAATCGACTAGCTTTGGCACTCAGTTTTTGATCAGTAGACCAAACATTTATTATTTTGGTATTTGTGTTTTCTAATGAATAAATGTAAAACAAAATAAATTCGTTTCAATTGACATTTTACTGTTTAGTGCTAATCGCTTTATCAAAGTTATAGTAAACCGGAATTTACAATATCGAAGCTTATATATATGATAACTTGATAAGTATTCTTCTGCATGAGTGATTCTGCGTTGTCAGAAGTTTAGAATAAAGGTGATATTCATATGTAGTGTGTTATATGTGAATAATGTGTAAATTACAGATTGAGATTTGTATGTACACATGTGTTGATAGTTCTTATCGTATGTATATTGGTTATGTCAGTATATCGGAATGGTTCGAGACCACGTCAAACTACGTTTTAGACAATTATGATTTCACTTAATGTGAAGAGATTCTGCTGAGATGTTCTTTATAGTTTCTAAATAATTTTGATAGAGTAATTAGAAGACGAAGTTTATCTGAACAATGTGATGTATTTGCGCAATATATTTCCAACAATCTGATCACATATTTACTTGTCAAGTCAATATAGATTAACCTGAGGACTAGGGGGGACAAATACAACAATTAACGCAATAGGGAATTAAAATTAAGAAAGATGAGAACAAACAGGAAGTGACATATTTGATCCTAATCTTGGTAAGAAAACAAAGTTTGCCAGGGTAGGTGTAGTGTAAACACAAACTGTTTTTGTACACATAAAGGTGGTTTAGATTTATGTATGGCTATGGCTTGCACAAATCTCAGAATACGTCCTTGACCGTTTCTACATAAAACTTTGGAAGCTGTTTGAACATTAACTTTGTGACCTGTTTTTATGATATGTTTAGCTATAGATTAAGAGGGTTGTTTCCCACGAGCGTTTATCACTGTTGCATACTCTATTTGTTTTTGAAGCCATTTAAGTACATGTTCTCCCACCCTCACCTTTGTCTTCTCTACGTTTACCTGAAGTCCCGTCTTTGCTGCCTCGCCTTTTCTGCCAACTTATTAGTTTTTGCCTGTGGCTCTTCGAGTTTGTGCCGCATTACACATAAATCATCATCGGTGAAATGCAAATGTTCTAGGGTCTTTCCATCGACTCAGCCAGCGTATGCCCCTCTTCTCGCTCCTCACATTTTGTTGACCTAGTTCAGTCGATCACACTGAGGAAGATGATCGGTGATAGTAGGCGGGAACCTTGTTTTGCTCCTGTCCCCTGTCGTCACTTCAAAGGCATCACCGAGCTTTCGATTGTGAATCACTTGGCATATGGCGTCTTCATATAGCTGTTGGATAAGGTTGAGAAAGGTTTGTGGCACTCTGTAGTGTTTGGGATATTTTTTCTACTACAAACTGTCTAACCAAAAGTTCAGATGTGATAGATATAGCGTGGGACTTCAGCGCACACTTAAGGAGATTAGATAAGATAAGCAGAAAGTCACATAGGACTTTTAAACATACAGCTGATGAATGAATAATGACTATCACCTGCTGCAAGTGTTGGGATTATGCGTAATAATTTATGCTTGAAATGTCATCAATTTTCGCCTTATGCTATGTAAAGCAAATACATGTTTTTGGAAGAGAAATCTTCTGCGGCTAACGACAGGGGAATCAACCTGACTAGTGTAGGTTCTAAGATTTATGATTCCTTAATCATTCGACGGCTGACTGCAGCTCAGTGGGAAGTAAACCGAAAAGAAATCGGGCAACGTTCATACTTGGTCATTGGCGTATCTATGTTCATGGAGGTCTTGCTCTCATTTGACTTTACGGGGGTTGATATCCCTGCAGTAAATTTCAGAAGTCATCTTAAAATGTTCAGATGACTAAATCTTGTTCAGTAAAGATGCCTATACGATACAGAATCTTCTGAATCTTTGGCTACTTAAAAATACATGGGATGCCTTTCTCATCTAAAAGCAAACTGTAGCTTCAGAGCTGTTCTGTGTTGATATTTCATCTGATATTAAGAAGTGAGACGGTTGAGGGCTTTAATCTGTTAAGTTACCTGTGTAATTGGATTAACTCTAGTGGGTTGGTGACTCACGAATTTTCGTCATAGTTGCAAAAAGCTCGATTGACTTTCTTTCTAACCTGTGATGTGAAGCTGATGAGATGTCTGATAGCCTTTTTAATCGTTGGATCTACTGTGCAGCAGTTCGCTGTGGACTACTGTATGATTATGAAATATGGCTATTAAGATTATAGAATGTGAGAAGGCGCCAGGTGTTCTATCACCGGCACCTTAATAACATTGGCTGCATGTTGTGGGATCACCATATAGGGGAAATAGAAGTCAGTTAATTAGATCGTCAACCTTTATCGACTCAGGCGGTTGGAAAAAAATAATTCTTCGAAGACGTTTGCTAATGTCTCAATATTCTTTCGAAAGAAAGGCATATGGAGGCTTCAGGCAGAAAGCCCTAATCTTAGACTTGGTGCCTTTTGAAACTCGTCAGCAAGACGGTATCTGAAAATCTCCAAATGTTTGATTCTTTCTAAGATAGATATTCGAACTAGCGTCATTCAGTACTAGAGTGAGCGATAATACCTTTGAGGAACTGTTATCAAACCATATGATACTGTCTGGTGCTGACCGAGTTATGTGTCTGTGTCTGTGTTCGATCACCTGTATGTATGTGAAACTAACCTTCCATAAGCTGAATATCTATGAATAGTGATGTTACATTCAGATGGATTGAATTTTGTTACCCTTGGTCCCTGCATCTCCATTCTTGTCTATAGGTGTGAACACATCGTTCATAGTACCTTAATGTTGATTTGTGCAATGTTTCCTTCATTATTTTTTCTCCCGAATTATTACTGTTTGTATATTGTGGTTTACATATTCGGCTAGCTATAGTTATACAACTTGCAAAGGGATTTCCTGAGAAGAAAATTTTGTACTATTTATTTGTATGTACTCTCTAGTTTACAGTTGGTTTTTTATTGATTACTTTAGTGAACATCAGAAGAAGCTTGAATTACTTAAGTGTTTTTGGGTTCTATGCGTTGTAAAATAGCCTTTAGCATACTTTTGTTTTCAAAATTCTCTATACTTTAAGTTGAAGTCAACAAAACTAATAGTACATAACAATCTAAATAATTAGTTGTCAATAGGTAACGTAATAAGAAGTGGAGAAGTTGATTTTGGATAATAAAAAACTGCAATTTCCACTTCTGCAGTGTTGAAAAGTCTGCAGTTTAATGTAGATCTTTCCTCGAATCGATTGGATGATCCTGATGTACGTGGGATGAATTCCACAGCAGCTATGAGTTGAGTATTCTCGGCTGTATTGTGTTCTCTGACCTGGGTTGTTTAGTCACGGAGCTTTCATCGTCTTGCTAGGCGACATCATCAGCACTAACTTCGGTATGAAGTGAGCTGTAAGTATCTTTCCGTGACTGATTTAGTAGCTTACCTTGACGAACTAGTTTGTGATTTGTTGTTTCCTTTGATTGTTGTCATTGATTGTATCGATTTGCCTGTTGGATGTTCCTCTGTTTGACCTCTGACCTTTCTGTCGTTTATCATTTTCTCATTGGTTGACAGATTGGGTCTATGTCTATACATTTCTCCAATGATTGCTGAACGCCATGCTTGTAGGAATTCTCTGATATTCTTTGTGTTTCCTCTCTCCGCCCAAAATGTCTACATTGTCAAAATTGAATTCATGTCCATAGCTGTTATCCATGCGTATTGAAATGAGTGATGAAATGTCGTGTGTGACATTTAGTAACCAATTGGTGTTCATTTAGACGAAGGCGAAGAGGGCGACCACTTTGTCCAGTGTAGTGTTGACTGAAGTTATTGCAGTTTATTTTTTAAAATGATATTCGGTTTGTCTTCTTTGGTTGTTGCATCCTTTGGTCTACATAATAGTGTTTGAAGGGAATTTATTGGTTTATGAGCCACATTAATTCCAAGTGGTCTAAGTATTCTTGTCTTGATTCTTGATATATTCTTTATGTACGGTAGGATGATGCGTTTATTGATTTCTGTCAATGGCTTTGTAGTTGATGATGTACGGGATAGGCATCTCCTGATAAAGTTTCTTGGGTATTAACAGCTCACTTCATACTGAAGATAATGCTGATGATGTCGTCTAGCAAGACGATGAAAGCTCTAAGACTAAACAACCTAGGTCGGAGAACCCAATACAACCGAAACCATCCATCTGAGCTACAAATATTCTTCACCAGTTGAGTATTTAGTGAGACCTCAGTAGCTCTGAACTCCCTAGAGGTCACCTGGTTGACTTGGAGTATGCAAATGATATTGTCCTATTAGGTAAAGACGCTGACAAAATTCAGGGTCTTCTGAACACATTGAGCAGAAATTTGAGTGTGTTTGACATGCGTTTCTCATTTGTCAAATATAAGATGGTGCTCCATGCATGATCTCCTATTTCAAGGATATTGAGTGAAGTAGTGGAATGCATTGATCGCTTCACTTGCTCACGGAGTTGCTGATAAAATTTCAGCTCGACCACAGAAGACTCGTTTGGAATTTGCCAACTTGCGTCATCTGTGGTGCCAACTGTCGAGATATCCGACTAACTATTAAAGGACAAGTATATCGCACTAGAGTCTGTTCTGTCCTGTTGTACGGCTGTGAGACATGACCGTTATAAGTAGAAGACAAAATGCGGTTACAGGGCTTTGATCACAGGTTTTTTTGTAGCAGTGCTTGCAATCGGTGGGATTACTATGTGAGCAATATTAAAGTCAGGTGAAGGGTACCAGGAATGGTCGGAAACTCGATTGATAAGGTTGTGAACCTTAGTCTACTGAGAAGGCGTGGACACGTGTTGCGCATGCTGATCCACCGCCTACCCGACGTGTCATGCTAGGATTATGTTGGCAGATGGTTCATGATGGCCAGACCAAGACGATAAAGTCGCTGACTGTTGATCTGGGCTATGTGGGGAGATGTAGAGTACCTGGTTGGGGTCGTCGAGACGTTAGGAGTCGGTGATTGGTGACCGACTGTTGGTGATGTGGCTTAAAATCGGTCACACACTCCTTGAAATCTTCTAAAGCTTGAATATTTGCAATAACCTTCATCTTCAAATTGTTTATTCTATCATGCAACTTTATCCTCTTTGATATTATTCTTTTTCTATCCTTTTTTCTTTGTGTTCTACTAGGATGTGTGGCAACTTGAGCTGGAACACCTGTGTGCGAGGTTCCACGTTGATTTGTCTGTCTACCTGTCTGCTTGGAACATACTTAAGTGTAGGTAAATTTAGGTCAATCAACAATATTTGATCGATAGTAGTTACAGAAATTCATGATGTTTAATTGATGTAATATATTCTGCAAGAAACAACAGAAAATGGTGTAAGCTAACGTTTAATTTTCATTGCTGTTGCCTTAGTCAACTTAAAGGAAAAGAAGTTGGAGTTATTCACTGGAAATACTCTCTCCCCACACCAATTAAAACAGTTATCCCTAAAGTAAACGAACTCTTTATTTTATTATTGTGTCATCCTTCAACCCAGGTAATGATTTCTTATTCTTTTCTTCTATGGCAACTATTTTCCATTATTGTTTCAGAGTCGTAATTTCTTGATATCAGCTCATACTTTTTCCCCACAGTGAATTACTTAAATCCATGTATTCATGGAATTCAACAGTTACATACATATTCGTCTATTATACAATGGGGCATGCATGCTATTTCGTGGTTATAATGCTACCTGATCGGTGAGACCACGGTAGGGTGAGGTATGGGATTGGCCTCTGACCCCACTGGTCAAAAGTCAACTGGAGCTCTATGTGCACACTTCATCCTGCGTTGTTCACATTTCTTGACTTTTAAAATGAAATAGTTATCTTTCTGATGATAAAACTGATGCCTTATTCTAGGTTGGATTTGAATGCGTAACTTGTTAGTAAAGAATAAAATTCTATGAACGCTGAATTATAGGTTCACTCATTGTTACAGCATACGTGTCACATATGCTTAACGCTATACACTGACTCGATTTGGAGGTTTATGGGGATTCATCATGGACTGACTTTAGTTGAAGAACTATTGAAAACCTGGGAGTACTGGACAGCCGTTTCGTTTCCTCAGTAGTGGGCACCTATGACCCCGACAGAAGTTGAACCCAGGGCTGATACTGAACCATAGTCATACTTGATATTTTTATATGGAGTGACTTGAATTTATTTCAAATAGGTTTTATTTTGATAAAAAAATAAGATTTAGCAGATGACTAACAATAGTACTCAGAGGCTTGTAATAAATCGTTTTAAATAATAATAAACAGTATTGCCCATCCTGGAAAAAGTATTTATATTCTAGACCGTGAGTCACACTTGTTATTTGGGCGCTTATGATATTACTAGGTTGATCAGGCTGAAGTAGATGGTGAAAGGGTTGGAACCGGGGAGATATTGTTTTGAAAATCGAGTGTTTAATTCAATGAACAACTTTCCCACATCAGCCACATTTACTTACACCAAGGTAAGTTCAGTACATTCAAATCTGATAACCAGTATAAACTTGACAATAATATCAGCTTCACTGTTGTTATTTATTTATTTTTAAAGTATCTGGAATCGCCTGTTCAATCCGGGTCGACTTCCTGAAATACGTCAACAATGGTGGAAATCTCCAATCTTCATGATGTACTTGAATGCTATTGATGTGAATCCTCAAAATGCGGTAATCAGCATATTTTATCATTATTATTGTTGTTGTATTTTCCCTCTTTTTCCTTTAAAAGTTGAATTATTTGGTTAAATATTTATAGGTGAAATAAGATATGGTTTACAAATTAGGTGGTTAGCTCACCTTTTTGTTGGATTCTCGTGTTGAAGATAATAAATGTTACATAATCAGATGACATCGCTCATGGAACAACAGTTGAAGGCTGGAAAGTAAATATTCTTAGTTTTTAACCCTCTTTTGTTAGCCTGCAGCAAGCATGTTGTTCCTGTGATATATAGCATTCAGTTACTTAACAGCTTCAGCTGGTTTGTAATGTGATCAAACTGTTTCTCGCCATCATAATATCATTATTAAGGCAGTTGAACAAGATACATTCAAAACAAAACATTCATTACTTTTCAGCGCTAGGAGATAGAAGAAAGCTACAGCATGACTGACACTAGTTTCTATTCTAAGCCATATCTGATAACGTCTCAAGCAAATGAGTTGTGTGATCTCTCGCACCCCACCCGAGGAGTCATGATGCACCAAAAAATGCTAACCCGATGCAACTATCCTTCATACCACAGCGCCACGTCATACACTGACCACCCTTCCACTTCTTCCATTCAGCCCCAAGGCCTGCAAATAATGGACGATGTGGAAGACGTTGGGATGACATGCGTAACACATCCAAGCCACCAAAACCAGTGTTTCCATATGATTTCACTTATTAAATGGCGATCTCCATCATGTTGAAACACACTGTCGAACTTTAGAATTACTTACTTAGTGTTCCCACTTAATGCGAGCAATCCTACGGAGAAAACGATGACTGAACACACCGAGTCGTCGCTTATCTTCAGTCCGGAGAGACGAGGTTTCACAGGTGTGAAGCAGAGCTGCTCGCACCGAAGCGTTATAAACCTGACTTTTTACTGTCAGACTAACATTGCGACGTGCCACTTTGGCTTTCGATACGCGGTTAGAGATTTCATCACGCACAACTACCCATATACACAGACGCTTTGATTACTTGCAACGGCTCACTACTGAGAGTGAGCGCAGACACAGACTCCTCTTAATCTTGCAAAAGTACTTTGCACTTCACTAGTGCTAAGCACATACCATACTTACTACCATCTATGGGTGCTTGTCTTTGGTTCAGTCTTGTTTTATCTCATTTCTAATAAAACTTCGGGGGATCTCGCTCTGAAATTAGTCAGGAGTGAAAGGTGGATTTAGAAGAGGGTCGAGATTGAACGACACGTTACTTTATTGTAACTTTATGTGGAACATTTTTTCAGCTTTTTTTCCTAGTTGACGATTCTTCTGTAATGCACGGATTTTTATCTTTTTCACAACCGATCTCATAGTATGATAAAAGAATTAGTCCTGTTTTATTGAATTATCGTGTTTAGACATCAAACACATCAGTCACTGTCCGCTCTCTACCAGTCCAGGTACAAATATGCTCATTTTGGTTTATTTCTGAACTTTTCGTAGGCGTATATAGCATTATGCTTTACTGTATGACTTTACTTAAGTATAGTTACTGTCTCTAAGAGTTTGGTTCATTCGTTGCCTAAGACAATTTAGTTCATCTCACTGCCATAAGTATCCTGATGATTATGAGATAGAGGACGATGATAGCTGGTAGTCTTCTTCACTTTTCTCAATTTGAAGGCTTAGGCAGAACTGAGGGATCTGCTGATTGCATCTGTTCGAGGTCTGTATAATAACCTCAAATGGCAGTATTCAGACAGACAGGCGAATTTAGAACGTTTTAGAAAAGTGTATCAACTGAAGTCACTCCCCTTCCCAACAACACATAAACAGATAGTAGATGAAAATCGAATAAGTTAAAGTAACATGAATAAAGAAGGGACAAATAAAACGTATATTATTAAGATTATTGAAATTCCGAAGGTGAAAACAAGTGAATCCATCTGCTCTATTCTAACTGATCTTAAACCATGTTACCGTAAGTCTCCAGCTATTGCTTCCTAATATCTGAACGACATTAGCTAGGTGGTGGGGGGAGATTTCACTTCTGTACACAATCAGAAATGTTGTGAACTGATGATACGTTTTGATCTGATCGTCTTTAGTTTTCTTCCAAGCTAAACTTACCTCAGCTAACATCATATCACAGTTGTATGACTTCATGTACCAGCTATACACCATTCTTTGAAGCCAATTTAAATCAGATTGTCACTAAGATTATATTACTAATTCTGGTTTGGCAACTAGGAGCATATTATCGAAAGGTGAACTGGGTGACGGATGATTATGTAAACTAACTGTCGCCAGTTATAGTAATGAAGTAGATTGTGAATGTAAGTAAATAAATGAGGATCTTGAGTACATGAGTGTATACTCAATATGTACACGAACAATAACTGTACCGCCTTTTCTTAGCTGGGAAAATGTCAGCAAGTGAAGATTGGCTTATGAAAATAATTTCTATTCGGTAGACATCCATCACATACATTCCGTTTTCATGTACAAAGATATACTAAGAAAAAGCTAAATTATAACGGTTAACTTAGCAAATAACTTATCACTCCACTAATTTTATTGTCACCGCATTGATCGAAAATTGAAACTATAAAGCCTTTGTAACAGTGGTCAATAACTTGGGATATTGATTTCTGTTTTAATCACTTCCTTCTATTAACCCCTAAAAAGCCTACCCAACTATAGATTGTTTATTCACTTACGGTTTGTCACCGTCTTCTTATGGAATATTGTCATCATACAAGTTCATCCTAATGATTTAGAAGGAATGAGAAATTGGTGGATGCTGTTTTTCAGTCAAAAAATGATCTTGATATAAACTGTACTCATCGAGTAAATAATGTTATATATAGAAAAGTATTTATATTCTATAGTTTATAAATACTAGTAACGATAATGTTGTGTATTGATCTGTCAGCTGTATTTCAGTTTTACATCTAAGCATATGAACCAATGAATCAGATGTATTGAAATTACCAGAGATCAATAATATTGTGTATCATCAAACTAGATTTAAGTGGATTAATTGTGTATTTGTTTTAACGATCTCAAGGTACAAGTTTCTAAGATTACATTGATCAACTTTAAAGAACAAGTACCAAGTAATTTAAACCAACAAAGTGTAACTTTATGCTTCAATATCAGCATATTTACCGACTGGTTTCAACTGTAGATGGTGATTGAACTGATAGTAGATGTAGGTGTTTAATTGGAAACCATTTCGTCTTAGTTTGCCATCAATTTCCATTTTCTACAGTTTAGAAATCCAAGTAGTATCACTTGTTTGCACATAGTGATTATGGGATAAAAAGCGATCGAATTTTGAAGGATTTTTTATAATATGATATAAAACTTGTTGTATACTAGATACTATACTGTTACGAGACGGTCGCCAAATAGGCCAAGTAGTTACCTATTGTAGATACCATGACTAATATTTCAAAGAGAAGACTGCTAGAGGTAACAGACTTATTAACCGTCAAAGAAACTAACAGCTGGCTAAATATATACTTAATATTTAGAGCTTTTAATATAAGTGTAAAACTTGGGTACTGTGGTAGAATGTAATTCCATATTAGATTTGTTTATTTGATATATACAACACAAAGTGTGATAAAGTATTACTTACTTGATGATGTTTCAAGCATAAATTATTCCTCATAATCCTATCAATGTAATCATACTACTTTCGACATCTGATACTTATAGTCCTGTCACCTAATATTCTCTGCTACACGGTGTTGTAGTCAGCGATGTTACCTTATGTAGGACTGGATTAGGTATACTGATTTGTAACTGTGTGGGTGGGTCGGTGGCGAGGGGGAACTAACTTCATGTTGTCTAGTCCTATATGCTGATCGGATTTTATTGATCATTTTGCAATGTGGCTATCAGGCTAGGTGGCTCAGCATCGTCACTTCTCTGCGAATATACATTGAAAAAAGTAGTATATCATGCATAAACTACATAACTTAATCATTAATTAAATAAATACTGACAACATCGAATAATAATAGTAAATAGTTATGAACCAAGCTTATCTCCAAGTAGTGGATTTGAAACTAGTTGACAGGGAAATTTCAAATGAGTATTTTATCTCACTTAACACTGATAAGTTGATATTTTAGTGGATTCTTAGTGAAACTCGAATGCACAGCACTTCTTAGAACAACAGACAACGGATTCAATGGAAAAACAGGATTACACAATGCAGTAATATAAATGTAAAACTTGAGCACTGCGACAGAATCTTATCCTATATTAGATTTGTTTATTTGATATATACACAACACAGTGTGATACAATATTACTTACTTGATGACGTTTCAAGCATAAATTATTATCGCTCATAATCATATCAGTGTAATCACACTACTTACGATACATGATTTTTACAGTCCTGTCACTTAATATTCTCTGCTTTTATTGGTGGTAGAATATTCCATATCTCTAGTATAGGTGTTGCGTCAATCTTATTGCATGTGTTGGGTGTTGATTCGATGAACAAACCATTTAGACTCGCCTAGAGATGACTTTATTCATGACCGCATCTAAAGGCTTCTTGATTTCCGCATATAGTCCTTTTTTTACATTTTCGTCAATTTTGTTAAAGTAATCTAATTTGTCAATAACTACTGTTGCATTACCTTTCTCAGACTTAACCATTACAACGTCTTTTAATTTGATGCCTAAAACTAATAATCCTAGCAGAATTTATGGCACTATTAAGGTTCATAAACCAGGTTATCCCATTAGACTCTTAATCGATTTCAGAAATACCCCAACATTTGAACTAGAAAAGTACTTAACATCGATATTATGTCCTATTAAGGAACCGTTTAAATTTTAGACTAGTAAACTCTTCCGGGTTAAAACTAAGACTTAATGACCTAAACATAAAAGAGGATGAAAAAATGGTTATTTTTGACGTATCAAGTCTTTATACTAAAATACCAATCGATATGGGATTGGAGGGAGTCAGAAATCAACTAAATACTCACTCAGAACTTAATCATAGCACTAAGATATGGGTTGGTGAAATCATATTAGGCGTACAGTTGCGTCTGACCTCTATAGTCTTCAAGTTTCAAAACAAAATATACAGATAAACAAAAGGAGTAGCAATCGGATCATCAATATTCTCAGTCATTGCAGATATATTTATGGAGATTTGGGAAAACATGACCTTACAAATGTTTAATCCTGCACCTAAAATATTACGGCGATATCTAGGTGACACTCTTACTTTGTTGAAATCTGAACATATCCGAATTTTCCTCACACATATAAACTCAGTAGTAGACGCAATCCAATTCACTTACAAGATAGAAAATGAACAAGGAGACTTATCCATATTGGATTATAGGATAAAGCGAAGTAAATACGGTGGTTTGGATACTAGCGTCTACAGAAAACGTTACATTTTAACAGGTATCTAGACTTCAAGTCATCCCATCGAATGCCAGTTAAGACAGACTTAGTCAAATGTCTAAGTGATAGAGCTAGAAAACTGACTGGTCAGTGCAACCACCTAAACAAGGAATTGAAACGCGTTTATTAAGGAATTCGTAGGAAGACACAAAAAACGAAAGAATAGGAGTAACACGACTACGAATAATAACGACAATACAAGTAGAAAGGAGTTCACAGCCTCCATTGTGTTAACATATAAGGAAGGTACATTAGAAACTTTATGTAGGATCGTCAACAATGGTGGAATTAGGTTGGCATTTAAACTTACAAACTCACTCAGAGATAAGCTTTTGTTGGCTGACTTAAGGATGCGATGGGACCAATTAGTCAAGATAATCTAATCTATCAAATTCCATGTAATGACTGTGAGGTTAAGTACGTGGGTGAAACTAGCCGATGAGGGTCAGTTAAATTAGTGGAACATTGTGATTTAGCTAAATATAGAATGACAGACTGGAATAAGATCAGTGATGGAGAAAATAAGTCAGCTACTGTATTGCGTGCATTGACCCACAACTACACAATAGGGTGAGGTAAAATCACTGTACTTAACTCTAGTATAATTAATTGGAGAGATTGAGGTTGATTACTGAGTCTTTGTTCATTAAATCAACCCGTAACATATCTATTAGAAATGACAATACACCTATACCAGAGATATGGAAATATTTATTACCAATAAAAACAAAGAATATGAAGTGACATAACTGTAAGATTATGAGCAATAATTTACACTCTAAACGTCTTCAAGTACATAATACTATATCAGTGTATGTTATAAATCAAATAAACAAATCTTATATGGAATTTAAAGGAAGTAGTCTCTTTCACCTACCTAGGCAGCATCGTCCCAACTGCAGGCGGCAGCACAGACGAGGATGTCAAAATCAGGATCGGAAAAGCAAGGCTTTCATTAACCTGAAGTCAGCGTGGAGATGCACTGCACTCAGTACAAAGAACAAGATGCGGATTTTCAACACCAATGTCAAGTCAGTGCTACTATATGGTTGAAAAACTTGACGTATCACGAAAAGCATTTCCAACAAACTACAGATATTCATCAACAGCTGCCTACGCTCGATACTGAAGGTCAGATAGCCAAAAAGAATAGGCAACAAGGAACTCTGGGAACGTACCAGCCAAGAACTTATTACCTAACAAATATGCAGAAGAAAGTGGAGATGGGTCGGACATACACTGAGAAGGCCGACTGGGGACATCACGCACCAGATCAGGCCCTCGAGTGGAATCCGCAGGGGAAATGACTAGTTAGGCGTCCGAGGTGAGGGTGACATGGTGGAGATCATGTGAGAAAGAAATGTAAGCTTGTGGGCAATCGTGGTACCATTTTGAAAAGACTGGAGAGAAGAGAATGAAATAGCGACGTGCTACTGAAGCCCTATGTTTCGCTAGGAATCTTAGGGAAAAATATAAATAATATGGAATTTAAAGGTTATTTTTTATTGAACTCAATTAAATAGTCCATTCGATGGGTAAACCGATCAGTAGTGATAAAATAGTTGAACTAACCTAATTATATACAAATCAGAATGGTATAATGATCTTAATTTTCACATTACATTCTGTTGTTTAACTTTTCTTATAAATTTTTAAAATAATTGACTCTATTTTTCCTTATTCGTCCTGATGTCTTCATGTGTTCATGTGACGTATAGCTAACTAAACCGTTACACAGTACTTTCATCAAAATGAGGGTTTTTTTTATTTATTAACAAATTATCTACTTGTGAGTTGAAAGTAAGCATACTATCTGTTATAATTCACTTTACAGTTTTTCAGTTTTTCTATGGGCAACTGGTCAGCTGTTTTATCACAACTAAAAAATTGAAAAAAAATTTCAATTTAGAAGTAGTATTCATCAAGGACTGACATCAGTTGGGGAACTATCAAAAATCTGGGAGCACTGGACAGCTGTTTCGTCTTAGTATGGGACTCCTCAGCAGTACGCACCCACGACCCGGCTAGGGGTCGAACTCAGGACCTTCAGGTTTCACGGTGAACACGTTAACTATTCAGCCACTGGATCGGTTTCCAGTGATTCACATTTGAATAATGTTCGGTTCAGTGTTTTTATATTGAACTCGGTGTGTGCTGTTTCAATAGGACCTATTAGCTTAATATCATTCATGCATTCCCCCTTTTTCTTTTCTTAAATATACAGATTCCAGTTTTTGCTAGCCAATTGCGACTGCTCGAACCAATACGTTTGACAAGTCAAAATTGTTTGAATAAGAATACAATTGCAAATAGTAGTCATACTTCACAGGATCATCATATTCATCATAATACGGGATTGTTATCTGATAATGTTAATGAAAAATTGTCAGATTCCACACTTATCTGTAATAAAACACCATTCAGTAATGATAATAGTAATGGTAAGGGATTTCTGAAGTCATCTTTCTTGAATATTACAATGTACTAAAAGGAGATAAATTTGTTTATCTTCTGTTCGGTGTTTAGATAAAAAGTTTAGTTTGTTTGTGACTAGAAATACTTTTTTTTTAAAAAAAATTATAAATTACTCTATAAATTATTATGATTTAGTATTTCCCAACATTAAGGGAACTGTATTCACAACCTGCCAACCGACTCACGTGCATTGACAAGAAAGTAGAATGTGTAAGATATTAGTTGAGAGGGAGCCATGAACATAGGTTTCGTATTTATTGGTGCTTATTAATGAAATGTATCTGTATAACTATCAAGAAGCTGAAATTCTCTTGATCATTCGAACCTGAGTTAAAGACTAGACTGCTGTACTATTCAGCTAACTTATTTTTCGAAAGTGTTAATTGTATTACGAACAATAGAAGTCTATGTTTTCATTTATGAATGCTTATGTGTACCTAATATCATCATGAAGCTCGTACTAATTTCACTGCATTGTTGGCAGTGAATGCCTAAGCACTCAACTTTTAAGCAGTGGGTATAAGTTTAGAACCCTGAACACCGTTGAACAGTAATTTGAGCATTTCGCACCTGTCAAATACAACATTATGCTCCGTGGATGGTTTAGAACTACTAAAAATTTAAGGAATAAAGTGGTGAAATGTATTGACCGCTCCACTTACTTCGGGGGTATCATCATCCCGTACTGGCTGGTTGTTGACGAAATCTCAGCACGAACACAGAAGGCATGTTTGGCGTTTGCTAACTTGCGTTGCCTGTGGTGCCAACTGTCGGGCTATTTGACTACATATCAAAAACCGAGTATACTGTGTAGCAGTGTGTTCTTTCCTGTTATATGGCTGTGAGACATGACCATTAAAAGTAGAAGATATGAAGCGGTTACATATTTTGAATCGTAGTTGTCTTCGTAACACTAATCGCGTTTGGTAGGATCATCATATGAGTAATGTTGAAGTCTGGTGAAGGGTACTAGGCAAGATAGGCAAGTCGACTGATGAGGTTGTGAACCCTCATCGACTAAGGTGGGTTGTATTTGAACTGGAATGCTGATCCACCACCTATCTCGATGTGCCATGCTGGGGGAGAGAGATTTCAGTTAGGTTGGCAGCGGGTTCAGGATGGCCAAATCAAGACATGGTACCAGTCGATGAAGTCACTAACTGTTGGATTTAGCTATATGAGGCGATGTGGAGTACCTGGTTGAGGTCATCCAGACGTTAAGAGTCGCTGGTTGAGGACTGACTGTTGGTAACATGGCTGAAAATCGGTTACAGTGGTGCAGATGTGTCTACTCCTTGACATCTTTTAAAGCCTGTATATTTGTAATAACCTTCATTTTCAAATTATTTATTCTGTCACGCGACTACGTGTACTTTGTTATCACTTTCCTAATAACCTTTTTATGTACTTCTGTGAAGTTTGGCAACTTGAACTGATATACTTCTGTAATAGGTTCTACATGGATTCTTTCTCTGGAACCCTGCTGTACCTAAGAGACCGAGTGTTATCATAAGTTTTTCCACAAAATGCATGTCTTATAGAGACTAATACATAAATCCTGTTTGGAGTTGAGTTGCATTACAACGTACTATTTAATTGGAAGTAAACAATGATTTTCCAAAGTCTATATGAGCTTTCTATAACAAAATTTTCACCATACAATGTTGATATATTCAACAAGTAGTTACTATTTTCTCTTGTTGTCATCTTCACTGTAAGGAAACTGAACTCTGAGCAACCAATTTGTACGATCTACACATTATGTGATGGCTAGTGATGCTATACGGCTACCCAAACGTCTAGATGGAACGGTGTTCGAACCCGTAACCCATTAGTTGACAGGTAAATGCCCAAACCAATGAGCCATAGTTCCATTTTTGAGGTCGTTGTCATCGTTTTCGGAGATTGAACTATTCACGAAACTTCAGTGTCTTTATTTATGTGTATGTGTGTGTTGATTATAGGTGAAGATCATATAAAATGCATATTGAGGATTTATAAGATAGCAAGTGATTAGCCACCTTTGACGCTTGTTTGCAGCATATTTCGTTATATTTATATACAGCAATGACTAAATAATCAGATAACGGTTTCGATCATTTAGGTTTTGTATTGAAAGTTATTTCCTCGGACTTACTGAGTTCTTTAATTCTTTTCTATTCTAACCAATCAATTCAAGCCAATTAATTAATGATGTGATGGAGTAGATTACGGACACTAAGTCCCGAAAATACCAGAAGGCGAAGACTAATTGATGCTTTCAAGAACAATTTTTGTTGTGTGATAACACATCAAATACATTATTATTTCACGCTAAAAACTTGCTGAGAAAAGACGTCCACATAGATCAGAATTCAAGTTGGAAACTTTCTGCATCTATGGTGAATCATTCAAAATATTGATTTCTGTTTTGACCATATCCTATTCTTAATGATACCAGAACTTAGTAAAACTTATCCACTAATCACTGATTACACCTCGGTGACTCTAGAAATCTTGTTATAACTTTTAATTTACTTGGGACTTTGAATTGTCAAAAGGTGAATTCAAAGTAAACTGACAAAGTATATTACTGTGGCGCGTAGATAGTTAATCAACGGATTTTCTGATTTGCCACTTCAGTCTTGCTAATATTCCTTCATTACTTGTTTATTTAGACTGCCATTTCTATCTTCATAGCATTTTTGTTGTTGTTCTTGATATTCTAAGGCAAAATAACAGAAATGTTAGATCTGGACTTCTTTGAAACACGAGAAAATACGCATAATTCAAAGGGCCAAACTAATCGAGGCAGTAAACACTCAGAATTATCAGGTAAAAATTTTAAAGCATAGTAGATTATTGTCATTATTATTATTATTATTATTATTATTATTATTATTATTATTAGTAGTAGTAGTAGTAGTAGTAGTAATGGTAGTAGTAGTGTTTTGTCATGTAATAATAATAATAATCCTGCCTACTCTCGACATTGAAGATCAGATCAATTAGCCGGAAAGAATAAGCAAGAAGGAAGTCTGGCTGGCAACGAACCAACCAACAACCTATCATCTAACAAATATGCAGCAGAAGAAAGTGGAGGTGTATTAGATTCGACATACACTGACAAAACGGTTTGGGGACATAACGCGCCAGTTCGCCGAGTGGAACCCAGATGGAAAACGACGAGTCGGGCGTCCCAGCTGAGGGTGATATGTAGGAGATCGTGTGAAGAAGAAATGAAAGCTTCTGGGCAGTTGTGGAGCCAGGTTGAAAAGACTGGAGATGACAGTGAAGTGTTGACGTGCTAGTGAAGTCATATATTCCATTATGAACCCAAAGGACAACATGTATGATACAGTATGGACTTTTCATCATGGAATATTTCAACAAATTTGCTTTCCGTACAGCATTTGTAAAAGAAGTAATTATTACGTCTGCATAGTGTTAATAATAACAGTATTGAAGACATAAGAGTAAAACAGGCAGCTAGTGTTATATTAGCATATGTTCTCAATTCGAAAATTAATACAAAATCGACTATAATTTTGATGGTGGTGGCTCAGTCAGCCAGCCAGCACAGAAATTCAGAATCCTATACAGGTATTCTAGCAACAGTAATGTGGTGTATTTTTGAGCATTTATAAATCCATTTACATCGAGCAGAACGTTTTCCCTTTGTTCGAAAACATTTTAAAAACGTAATGTGTTCGGAAGACATTTGAAAGATTAAAATCAACAGAAAGGGAAGAATTTAATAGAATCTAGTTAGTGGAAACTTTTTGGTAGCCCAAGATTTAAGCGGCCGCTTGTTCAATGTAGACATTCAGATAGTATTTTAAGCATACAAAGCACATTTTCCCTACTATGCTATCGCACTAATCAAGCTTTACATTATGGCATACTTTGTACTCATTTTTTGTGGTATTATTATTGCTTATCGTTTCAACCATCTGAGAAAGCCGTAGTTGATTTGATAGACTAATATTGATACTAGTATGGTGATTGAAGGTGAAATCAAAATCTAGTCAGCAGTTGGGTAGAGCACTGAACCAGAAACCCAGTACTTGCTGGTTTGAATCCCGCCGTCGCCCCTCCAAATTTTGATTTCACCTTCAATCATCATACCAGTATTAACAGCATCAATTTCAATGGCTTGAACTCATTTTAAGTATGACGTCTTGATATCTTTTACCCTGTTTGGTGTTCATTAGTCACATGATTGTTTTTAAGTTGTCAGTTTAATGAAGTAATGCATTGGGATTAAAGATAATTGTTTTGTAATCCTTCACTAGTTTATCAATACTCTCAAGCAGTGTTCAGTGGGGAACAATTGGAACATGACCTAAGTGGTAATCTCAACCTATGGTATTCGATTATCCTTTAATCTGAAAAGTGTAGTGAAATGCTTCCTGATGAATATCCCGAAGTTCTTGTGAGAAGTTATAACTTGTGGGGCGGGGGGGGCGAGGGGTTAGAAAAGGAAGCGGATGCTAATTGAAGATCTTGGATGGTAGTTGAACTATGTTGCAAATTGACAGAAGTAAGGGATTAAGAACCATTGGATTTCGACACAGTGACTGATGGTTAACGCGTTCACTGGGTGACCTTAAGGTCCTGAGTTCGATCCCTGGTGGGGGCAGGGTCGTGGGTGCGTATTGCTCAGGAGTCCTGTATTAGGACGAAACGGCTGTCCAGTGCTCCCAGGTTTTCAATGGTTCTTCAACTGATGTCAGCCGGGGACGAATATGATCTTATTTATTCACACCTTTACCAATCAGTGTCACTTATGTCGTCTTTCTTGGTTGCTCATCAGTCTGCTTATTGAATACAATGTCCTATATGGTTAAATGTTGTGTTGCATCGCTTTTGTTATATGTGTTAGGGGTGACATATACAAATATTGCTTCTACTATTAATCTTTCTTTCCATTTGTTTTTGTTAGACTTTAGTATGGTATGGTTGGGTTGACATTTATTACCCGGCACACTTCCCCCTAATTTATTTGGGGTGGAAGGAAAATTGAAAATGAAAAATGATTGGCTGGTTCCTCTCTTTAGAAGTCAATGTGTTCGTGTGGCCAAGATACTTTCCTATTGGACTAGGACACTAACTTGTAGGAATCTGATTAGTTAAGCGCAGATAAGCTATCTGTATTTAGATTGGCTTAAGAAATCAGCATCACTTGTCACATTAAGTTTGTTTTAAAAAAGTGATAGCCATCAGGTAAAGATTAAATCCAAAATGAATTTAAAAATTGTAGAAAACTTCGTCCTATTTGGGACTCTGCTTAGTGAATAATACCCTATAGTTTGAAGCGATGGGTAATGAGTTCTATCCACAATGAGAACAGCATCACTCACTGGGGTGCAGGTACATCCAGTTGGATCAGTAAAAAGTAGAAAAAATTCAGGGTATAATTTCTGTGATTAAGTCAATTAAATAGTAACCGGCCTCCAAGATCATTTACAAGAATATGTTTGTGACACAATCTATATCTGATCAATCACCTTACGAAAAAGACCCCTCAAGGTCATATGGAATGTTGGTGAAATGTGCGTGTGTGTGTGGGGGGGGGAGGGCAGGAATATCTAGTATTTAAATGGGTACTGGAAATCGATTGTATGTGGACGAATGACAACCTTATCGGTTTGATCTGCCTAGTCTATTTGTCAATGCTTCTGATTACCAACCTTTTGGAACATAGGGCTTCGGTAGCACGTCTCCAATGCGCTCTGTTCTCTGCAATCTTTTGAACCTGGCTCCACGACAGCCCAGAAGCTCTCATTTCCTCCTCGCACGATCTCCTCCATGTCACCCTCGGCACCGACGCCCAACTCGTCGCTTACCATGCGGATTCCACTCGAGGGCCTGACCTGGTGCGTGATATCCCCAGTCGGCCTTCTCAGTGTATGCCCAATCCATCTTCACTTCCTTCCAGTGCATATTTGTTGGGTGATAGGTTCTTGGTTGGTTCGTTGCCCGTCCAGAGTTCCTTGTTGCATATTCTTGTTATTCTGGCCATCTAATCTTCAGTAACGAGCCAGGGTAGGTAGGCAGTTGTTGATGAATGTCTGTAGTTTATTGGAAATCCCTTTCGTGACGCGCCAAGTCTCTGAACCATCACACAGAAGCACTGACTTGACGTTGGTGTTAAAAATCCGGATGATGTCCCACATGCTGAGTGTGGTTGGAGTTATTGGTGCGGTATGTTCATCACCTCTGTCTTCTCTATATTCATTTGAAATCCCGTCTTTGCTGCCTCTTCTGCCGAATTGTTAGTTTTTGCCTGTAGATCTTCAAGTTTGTGTGACATCTGACACAAGTCATCGTTGGCGAAATCCAGATCTTCTAGGTTCTTTTCCGCAGTCCAGTGTATCCCCCTCTTCTCGCTGCCTACTGTTTGCTGCATGATCCAGTCCACCACAATTAGGAATATCATGGGGGATAGTAGGCAACCTTGTTTCACTCCTGTCTTCACTTTCGCTTCCAAAGCATCAGTGAGCTTCCCATTGTGAATGACTTGGTTGTCATGTGGCGTCTTCATATAGTTGTTGAATGAGGCTGATAAAGGTTTGTGGTATTCCATAGTATTGAAGCAGTTTCCAGATTACCTCTCGGTCGATGCTGTCAAAGGCCTTCTCAAAGTCGATGAAGTTGAGGTAGAGTTGAGTTGACTGCCATTCTATACTCTGTTCTATGATGATGCGTAGTGTAGCGTTGCAATTTGGTCTGCACATGATTTGTACTTCCTGAATCCAGCCAGTCTGTTTGGGTCGTAGTTTTGAATCCAGTGCATACTTTAGCCTCTCCAGGATGATGCGGCTTAATATTTTGCTTGTATTGGGTGGACAGGAGAGTGATTCCGCACCAGTTCTTGCAAACACTGAGGTCGCCTTTTTTCGGGAGTTTGACAAGGTAACCCTTCTTCCAATCAATGGCCAGGTACCTTCTCCTCCTTCCACACCTTCTGCAATAGTGGTGTGGTGTGAGCATGTTCGCTGTTGTCTCTGCGTCTGTTTTCAGTGCTTCTGGCGGTATCCATCTGGTCCTGCTGCTTTCCCGCATTTCAGTAGCTTTATGGCGTTCAGGACTTCCATTTTCGTTGGGGGATTAATGTTCACTTGTAGTTCAGCGGTTGTAGGTGGTATTTGTGGACGAAGTGCAGGTGGTAGTGGTGGTCGAATCAAGAGCTTCTTGAAGTGGTCGGCCCATCGTTTCCTCTGTTTCTCTTCTTTTGTAATTAAATTTCCTTCTTCATCTTTTATTGGTTTCATCTGTGTTGGTCTCTTCCCTGATAGCAACCTGGTTATTTGATACAATGTCGTCAGGTCTCTCTTACCTGCAGCCTGTTCTGCTTCACTTGCCAGTGTTTCGTAGAAGTGTATTTTGTGTTTCCGTGTACTCTTCTTCACTTGTTTGTCCAGTGAGTGTTTTATACATTGTACTCAGTTCCTGTTGTCGTTGAGCATCCTTGCACTGGTTTATCTTCTGCTTCACCATCACCATCCTCCTCTCCCTGCTCTATCAGCTTCCATGTATTCATTGAAATCCATTCCTTATCTTCTTTCTTCTTCCTTCTTAATACTGTTGTGTAGGTTTCTTTCCACATCTCTTTCAAAGACTTCCAGTGTTCTTCTACACAGGTTTCTTCAGGGATGTTGCCCGATATCTCCCATTTAGTCTTGATGGCTGGCTGCCGTGAAGATTTCTTTTGTAGTTTCATCCTTCAGTTTCCTTTCTGTGTGTTGTACTTGAAGTGCAGTGTATCACCAGCTTCCTTGAAGGCTTTTAACTTGATTTTGAAGGTAGATTCCTTGCAGTTGATAGTGCGTTGTCTGAACCTATATCTGCTCCTCCTCCTGTTGACGTTGTGTCAAGTAGGCTGACTGCGTCTCCATTTTCGTCACATTGAGATGAAGTCGATCTGATTTTTAGTGTGGTGTTTCCATCTGGTGAAATCGAATCCATGTGGCTTTGTGGATATCGTTGTGCTTGAACACACTGCCTGACTCCAATCACCAAATCGTTGAATGCACAGAATTCTGCAAAAAATTCTCCATTCTCTTTCATCACCACACCGAGCGCTTCTGGACCCATGGTTAGTTCTCTTCCTGTGTTGTCTGCTCCCAGTTTGGCATTCATGTGGCCCATTAGAATGAATTTTGATATCGCCAACTTGAGTGGTGTCTTGTTCTGTGTTGATTGAAGTTGTCTGTAGAATTGCTCCTTTTTCTCTTGCTGTGCATTATTTGTAGGTGCGTAGTGCAGTGTAGCATTGTATGATTGTGACTTTCCTTCCTTTTGAGTTGAATCTTGCTGTCATGATCCTGGAGGAGGAGATTGGTTCTCACTGTATGAGAGCCTTCTATGCTGTTGGGGACATCATGATAGCCACTGGAAAACTCAGTGTGCTTGTGGTTGTCGTGTGGGTGACAATATCGGAGTAGATTATTGACTGTCCAGTTGACAGTTTGGAGAGTCCAATCCCATTCCATCTGCTTTTGCCAGTTCCAAGCACTTCAATGTGATACCTCTTCATCTCGTTTTCAATCTGGGCTGCCTTGTCAGTTAGGTTCAAACATGGTGTGGACATTCCATGTCTCCACATTTACTTTCGCTTTCGTCGAGAGGGAGGAGACACATCGGCCTGGCTAATTGGCTTCCCGGAGGTAGGCTTTCACCAACTGGCGTCATTTCGCCTCTCCGATTCCAGGGGGAATAATTTTGTTATTATTTTTTTATATATCGTTTGTGCTTTGAAGTTTGTTTATCGGTTAGATTTGTTTTAGAGGGTAGGGTTGGTAGCCGTATGCCCAACCTTCCCTCTTTATGAGGGCTTAGACCGGCTAGTAACTAGTGAATTAGTTCACCAGGCGAGGGTAGCGGGTTCGAACTCTGTTAGATCTATTCGGTCATAGATGAGCATTACGAATTACTTTCTCGCAAATATTGGGTGTAACTTGCAACCTACAATGTCTAGCTATCTTAGATTATCTATTTCTTGGTAATTGTTTCATATTCTAGCTTTGAAATACCTTAAAACTATGATCACAATACTGTGAATTGCTGACGGGACTCGAAGTAAGGTAGAACATCTCTTTAATTCATAGTAAGAGTTGTTTTCACACTTGTATCATCATCATCCATCAACATATCATCAGACATTACTGCTTAACAGTCCGAGTTGCCACACCCCATACCACCAAATCAAGTAAAAAGCAGTGAACTCAAAGATGGAGGTAAGAAAATTCAGTCAAAAGAAATATAAAGTACGAAAAGAGAGAAAGGAAGAATGGGGAAATGGTGAGATTCGGTATAGCATCGTTTAGATAAGGATAATGTGTGTGTACATCTGCCCCACTGACATCGGTTCTCACCCATATCACCTACAGTCTCCAACCACTGATTCCTCTTGTCCCGCTAACCCCAATCACCCAGTCTGCATCGCCCCACATGGCCTTAACCAACAGTCAACGACTTCACACATCGGTGCCATGTTTTAGTCTGGCCACCTCGGGCCCTTTCCCAGGTTGGACCTACTTCCGCCAACATTGTGTGACGAGGCAATCGGCGACTAGGCATACGTAACACGTGTCCCAACCAGCCATCTCAATCGATAAAGGCTCACAATCTCATCAACTGACTAACCTCTTCTCCCTAAAACTCTACCTCTGACGTCTGCGTTACTCACGTGGTGACACCACGGAATACAGCCTATAATACGAATGCAACGATGATCAAATACCTGAAGCTAGCCTTCTCATGTCTCCCACCTTCAATAGCCGTTTCACACCCATACAGTAAAACAAACTGGACTGCTGTGCAGTACATGCACTTACATTTCGTACAGAGTAATTAGTGAAGTAATGATGCCCAGTACACTTGAATAATGAGCATCTACTAATTCTGATGAACTAAATACCAAACAATCGAACCGTCAATCAACTGACTCATCTGCTTATTTCCACGTCGTCAGGTAAACTGTCACTTATGTATTAAATATGTTTCTGATAATATTCATCATAGACTGACATCAGTTGGAAAACCGTTGAAAACCTGGAAGCACTGGATAGCATTTTCGTCCCAGTACAGGATTCCTCAGCAGTACGCACCCACGACCCTGCTAGAGATCTCATCGTGAGACAAACTATCACTTATCTTCTAAATATTTGACATAAATGACATAACTATGAACTATATATAGTTAGGGTAAACTTGAAGGCTACCAAGCAGCCAATGAACTCTTAATATTGAACTATATTTCTGTTCACTGTAACATATTTTTGTCTTGGTCACATTTATATCTATCGGTATTGATCTTTGCTATCTCAAGTCTTATCTTCGTCTCATTCTATAAAATCTTTCACCTAACATTCAATAATTCCATAGCTTAATATGAAAATGGGTAGTTGATACGTATAAAGACTTGTTTTCTGTTTCTCCTTTTGTTAAATTTTATAGACTTAGAAGCTGAACTGTCGGCGTATTCTATCCCACCACCAACAATAAAACCATTTCCACCAGTAGTTGCTGACTTAAAACTATTGGAGATAAATAAGCGTTTCAAACTAAGTGAAACAGTTCGTTCTACATTGAATCGTTTACCAATGATTAACTATATGCGTTCAAAACGTCTTATGTTCCCAGTTCAACAACAGCAGCCATCACCATAACAACAAAATCAAAACTCTCCTAACTGATAAAAGATTTCAATCCTTTTTCTATCACTAGAAGCAGTGCTAATAATGTTCATTTACTACTCATACTGCCAAGTATAAGTAGTATGTCTTGATGTATTTTACTTTTATCCATTGTTTTTTTAAACAAAATCTATTTTAAAACTGTAATCTGTGATTTAATTTTTCGTAGCAGTTAACAAATGTTGATTATTATTTTGTCAGAGATTAAACCCAGACATGATATCAAAAAATATATGTATTCTAAAATATTGGCTTATTTTGGGCATATTCTCATATGAAGTAATGTTGGATAAAAAAGAAGTGATCTCTATGGGGTCCTTCTTTATCTTCTTTTAACCTTCTTTATAACAGTGAAGCAACATAGAGAAACTTACTTAGCCAACTTTACAAATAACAGACACATGAATAGGGAAGGCATTTTGCCGTATTTTTTTTTATCGCTCCCAAAGTTTTGTTGTGTATTGTTCCACGCTCTCCTCTCCTTCTTCTTCTCATTTTTTATCGCTCTGATTGTATTCATTTTATGTTGACTATGATAATGTATAATCCACATGTATATGTGTAAGTCACTTCCGCTTAAACTGAAATCTAACTTTCCCAGGAAAATGATTGGAGTAGTTATATATGCTCTATCCTGGTAGCTGGTAAGGTTATTACTACTCATACTGGTTGTATAATCTGTTCTGTAGATTGCTGGTTCGAGCTCCCCTCTGATGAAAGTTTTTCTTAAACTGTTATATTCTGTTGTTTCTCGTGCATATGTCTACAACTAGTTTATTTATTTCTTTGTCTGATAAATCATTGTTTTATCGTCGTCTTTTTTTGCATTTTTTCGGAATGGTATTTATTATTAAAACATTTTTCTTTTGAAATTGTTATTATTTTACTCTATTCCTTACTGTTTATTTGGTTTTATGCATGGATCAGTTGCCACCTAACTAATGGCGTACTTGAACGCATATGGAAGCTTACACAGACTTATCTGATCACGCACATGCACACACACACACAGACAAAGGATTTTGTCTAACTATTTATGTAATTTTTACTTCGCTTCTGTTTGCTCTTATTGGGGTATATATATATATATATATATATATATATATATGTATATATATATATATATATATATATATATATATATATATATAGGTTGTGTTAAATTGATTAAATGATCCGATTAACTCTGTAGGGTATAAGGGACGAAATGGTATTGTAAAGTGTGTATTGTATGCGTTTTTATTGTTTTATATATTTCGCTAGCCAGAATCAATTTGTTCAAGGTTCAATAAAGTATCTTTGAAAAAAAGCACAATAAAATGAATTATTTTTATTCTTTCAGTCTTGTTTATCTTTTGATAAGCGTCTTTAGCAAGTACTATTGTCTAATGGTATACATAATCCTGTGGTTATGGGTGGTTTGGAAACACGTTTTTAAGGATTGGATTTCTTGAGGTGGTAGTTATGATCTCCTGATGAACATTCATCAACACGTAAAGCATTTAGTTATTTCTAGCATTTCATACTGTATATGAAGCGATACATTCCTCTGACATGAAAATATAGGCTCCATGTTAATGAAGATTAGCTTCTTTAAATTCTCGAACATCTGTTTTCATAAAAATTGACAGGTCAAACGATAAAATTAAAACTATACCTGTCGCACAAGGAGTGGTTGAGTGGATAACTCTGTAACATTTGAAGCGATAAGTCCCGAGCTCGAGTCCTAGTGAGAACAACATCACTCATGCAGCCGATGGGTCACTAATAGGACGAAACGCAAATCCTAAACTTCACCGCTGACCACTATGCATCGTCACTCCTTTCAGGTCATGTTATGTCAATATTAATTAACATTAAGTATGCGCTACTATGACAGATCAAACCTTTGTAAGAGCCAAAGAAACTATTCAACATATAAGTTTTTTTCGAAAAGAGAACTTTTATTCTGGTTACTTCCCTAAAGAAGCTGAAATCAAACTGATGCGTAAAATGTTGGAATTACCTTTGATAATTACAATCGTTTTATTCGAGACATATGTGATACAGTGTGAATTTTTCGACAAATACGCCCCGCGTACTATGTTTTCCAAAGAAATAATTATTGCATCTGAGTTGTGTTAATAATAACGCTACTAAAGGCATAAATATGAGCCAAGAAGCTGGTACGGACTCGGGAATCAGCCAGTACAAAAATCTACAATTCTATTTAGATATCTAAGGAATAATAATTCGCTGTATTTTTGAGCATTTGTAAATCGATTTCCATCCGGTGTAACGTTCTTTTCTTTGTTTCATTCTTGCCTTGAGAAACGACAGTTTGAAAACATTTTTATAGTATGTGAGAGTGCACAACACATTTAGAAGACATATTTAAAGGATTAAAATAAACAGAAAGGGAAGAATCTGATAAAATATATTCAGTGGACAAAATCTTTGGTAACCAAAAGTTCAAGTAGGTCTCCTTGCACAAATATGTCTTGTATACAATTAAAAACTTAATGTTTCAAAACATCAGATGAACTGTATGAGTCTACAACTTCATTCACTTTGAGTAGTAATACTATGTACAGAAGGAATAAAAGACGAATGACATACTCATACTGAGAAAGAGTTAAATAACTTGATGTGTGTTTATGCATGATAACAGTTCACACAAAATCTAAGCTGGATGGATCGACACAGTAGTCCTGAACTTACATTAAGGAAATGCTCAAAATGAGCATGACTTTAGTTTGTTGGTATGCATTTCTTGTTGTCATTACTGAAGAAAACCCGTAAGAGTTTACTCGCTAGCCTAGTCATCATTTAGCTTGTCTAGTTCAACTACAAAATGATTACTCCTGATTTTTGTTTGTAATCAGAAAAGAATCTTCCTAGTATGAAGTGTATACATAGCCATCTGATATATATATATATATATATATATATATATATATATATATATATATATATATATATATATATATATATCTTATATGCACATAAAGGTGTTTTAAAAAACAAATAAGCCACTTCAGTCGTTACAGAAGCACTCCAGTGGCTAAAACAGTTTCTCAGTTCAGAAGTTTTTATCATATGTCGTGTGAGGTTATTTTTCAAATGATAGAAAAGTTTTGTAGCTCAGGATGAGAATTATGGTAGTTCGATTTTCATGACAAAGTATCATAGTTCAGAGGATACAGAACCACCACCATAGCTACAGTATATTTCGAAGCGACGGCTTTCAATTGTTTTGGCCATTACAAAGTCCTCATTTTATGATTCAGCGTTGTGTTATTAATATAGGAGTAACACTTGAGTACTGTGACCGATTGTAATTCCATTTTAGTCTGTTTATTAGAAATATCATACAGTGAAACAGTATCATTTACTGGATAACATTGTTTCGGACGCAATTTATTGTCCAGATTCATTTCAGGTAACTCCACAACTTTGAGATAGAGTTTTCATATTCCTAATTTTCTCTCCTTCTTTGTGATAATAAAGGTAGTAGAATTTTTCGTATATCTGGAACTGGCGCAGAATCATTTCTATTACTTCATGTATTTGCTGTTGATTCCATAAACAAAGATTAGGTTATGGATCTCTCCCTCCACCGAACTAAGTTTCTAATACTGCCGCTCTATTCCACCCAATTGTGTGCAGAGCTACACAAATTACTCATTGAGGTCTGCTAATCTTGATTAAGCTAGGCTTTTGGGCTTCGTTATTTTAATTGACCCCGGTCGACTACTTTGACTTATATATTTGACTTCGCAATGATTGCAACGGATTCGGCATACCAAATTAATTTGCTTAATTTCATCGATAGGATCTTTTGACCTACCAAGCTTATTTCTAAGCGAGTTTGTTGGTTTAAATACCACTTTAATCCCAGTTTCATTGAGAATTCTTCCCGATATTTCTGAGGTACTTTCCTTGTATGGTAACCTAGCAGAGGCTTTGAATTCTCCTTCAGCCCTGTCACTATTAGTAGTAGAATTATTATTAGTAACTCCTGTATTACTACTATTGATATTATGCTAATATTTTTCTTATGAATTTATTTATAAATTTTGGTGGGTAATTATTTAGAAGCAAGGTATTCTTGATGTGTCTTATATATATATCTTGTCGTAGATTTTCTGGCCTACTAGTAAGCTTTCCGCCCTATCACTTAGGCAATTAACTAAGCCTACATTAACTGAAAGAGGGTGAGATTATTCGAAGTCTAAGTAACTATTCGAATGCGAAGGTTTCTTATAGACACTCGTTTAATCTTACAATCCAACATTGCTAGCTCACCTTCATCGCTTTTTAAGTCACAGGTATACTGCATTGTATTCACTACTGAATTTATATGCCAAGAACCTACTGATGTGTTCCATTTTCAGTGCTGCAAACGTACCATCTACATATCGAAATCAAATCTTTCAGGTAGGACTAAGTGTTTGAAGGACCATCCATTAAGTAGTTGTCCGACCGATAGCTGCCACCTTGACGTGGTAGTCGAGTTCGCATATAACAATGACCTAATCAGTTATGCTGGTGGAACGCTTGTTCCTACCACAGCAGAAAGGTCTGTTGTATAGTGGTTGCACACAAGCCATTTACCATTATAGCGCAAATTGCTTCACTATGATGGGGATTCCGAGGACCATTCGTACTGCTGACTGAATGGAGGTGCGACGTCAGCTAGATGTTTTCCTTTGATGATCAGTGCGACGCTGATCCTGCCTTTCCTATAGAAAGGAAAGGGTTAGAAGAGGTCGTACTCAAAAACCACACGAATTTATCATCCAGCGACATGCCGATGCTGCGATAGGGGTGCACAGTCAGATTGGAAAATTAAAACCAAAATCTCAAACTTTCCAAAAGGTCGCGTGTGACCAGCCCAAAGAAGATATCCCTTGGGCTCTGCGGTCTCAGGCTATCACTTCTTTTTTACGTGTCTTAAGAAGAACTAATCTTCTACAATGTGGGCAAGCAGA